GAATCTTCTCTTAGGTTTTTTGCGAAAACGGTGCATCGTAGAAAGTTGGCGCAATTATAACTTTTGATCAGCATCTTGAGGAGAATCGAAAAACATAAGTCAGAAGGCAATCGGTCGTGGTGCAGCTTCCCATAAGAGGTGTGCGGGGTCCTTTAAAGATGACTTTCAGTATCAAAGACTTACGTCTGGCCAAGTCTTGCTTAGGTTTAAGCATTGAACAGTCAAAAAACTCGATCAAAATTAATCAAGCTCCCCTCATTAGAGATCTAATACAGTACATTAACATGGCTTATGCAAAATCGATGAAAACTCCTATGGAACACAAATTGTTCTTAGAACCCAACAAACAAGGACCTCTAATGTATTTAATCGTAAACACTCGCCCAGATACCTATTGCTTTTACCTGCAGCTATTAAAACTAGTTTAATACTTGTTATAACTTACAGCATTAGAAAGCTGTGCAACACCTTCTTAAATGTCCAAAAATGATGTTTCATTAACGAACCAAACATATCAGCATCAAATATCAGGCATACAGTTGCAGAAAATCAAATTCTACTTGCATACATTCCTAGAGCAGAATCAGTTGCTGATCTGCTTACTAAAGGGTGATTTCACGATAAAAGAAATAGTCATGTTGCCAAGGGTTGTAAACGACTTATGGCAAAATGATTGAAAAGCAAGTTGATAAATCAACAAGGATGATGTCTCTGCACTTATCCATGCTAAAAAAATATGATAAATTATGATTGTATTTGGTAATGAAAGACTTTAAAGGCCGATAGTGTCCGGACCAACCCCGATTTTAAAGCAAAAGATCAATTTGCGTTAGTAAATCAGTACTGATCATGGATTCTTTGACAATATTTGCCAAAAGGAGACTCTAAGGTTCCAAAAAATTGCCATTTTGAACTGAAATGTTTATTTTTTGGTACCGGTAGTGCCGCCATGTTTACAGGGACATCCGGCAGTCCCAGGGGAGCAGCTGATATCTGTGATTCAGTGGCTTGTTTGTCAATCACTATAACTTTGTACTGATTCAAAATAGTTCGTGCCAAAACTGGAAAAAGGAAGGTTAATACCTTTAAAATAAAGTAATGAAATTTGTTTAAAATTAAGGCACCTTCATTTTTAGAGTGTTGCACATTTCAGCTATTCCTGTTATCATGAAATCACCCTAAAGCGTTGCCCAGTCTGCAGCATCGCTTTCTGACTAACATGATCCTGAAGTAAAGCTTCTATACTTTTATCATTAAATAAACCACCTTGAAAATAAGAGCGCACCAATTTTAAACAAATTTCATTCCTTCATTTTAAAGGTATTAACCTTCCTTTTTCCAGCTAAAGTACGAACTATTTTGAATCAGTACAAAGTTATAGTGATTGACAAACAAGTCACTGAATCACAGGTATCAGCTGCTCCCGTGGGACTGCTGGAGGTCCACGTAAACATGGTGGCACTACCAAATTATGTTGGTCACGTAACCGACACTTGTATATTGAAACTTGACACTTGACACTTGTATATTTGTAATTGTGAAATGCAAGATGATACAAAAGATGAAACTTGGCAATTCTTGAGATATGAGGTGAAATTAGTGCTGTCTTAAAAGTTTTCTACACTTTGGGGACTTCCTGTTAGTTTAATAATATTAAATAGGTAGAGATTTTGTGTAGTGTGTAATTAGGGCCACATGCCTAAAAATCACCGGTTATCATCAAAATTTTAGTTTTCATTGTGACCAAAGCCAACTTAACAGTAATAGTTTGGTCAAGAAGACTTTGAGGAAAGTTTTGAACTCCTGGTTTCATCTGGCGAGATAAACCATTCACTTGATACAACTGCAAAAATATGTTGCCAACTGTGGCAACAATCTTTCTAATAACTAATCTCACTAAAAAATAAACATTCCAGTTCAAAATGGCATATTTTTGGAACCTTAGAGTCTCCTTTCGGCAAATACTGCCAAAGAATCCATGATCAGTACTGATTAACTGACGCAAATTGCTCTTTTGCTTCAAAATCAGGGTTGGCGACCCATGACCGACCGGACATTTTCGGCCTTTAAAGACTTCTATTGCCGAATACAATCATGATTAAAATGAAACAGAATTTAAAACTCACTAGTCAGCGAAATTACGAAAACCGTCCGACGCGCGATTCGACCCGTTGGATCAACATTAGGGCGCGACTGGTATGTTTTTCAGATATGCGGTGGTTGCTGGGCCTTCCTTTGTTGTCCTTGTTGCCAGATGTTCCAAACAACTTTAATAATGTGTTGGGTGGCGGAAATTCTACATTCATCAGGTGGTCTTTCTTTTGCTTTTGGATGAAGATATTTTCCCAACATGTCAGTCTATTGACATTATTTTCTTCCTTCAGTAATTGAGGTTCAAAATCTATGTCGTGTTTTTCTTCCCAAAAATGTGCTGCAATTGCTGTTTTTTCTATCGCTTGATTTTTTGTGTGTCTGGCGTGTTCTTGAGCTCGAATTTTTATGGATCTCGACGTTTTTCCTATGTAAACTTTAGGGCAATTTTTACATTGTATTTTATACACTCCTGCTTTTTGTAACCTGTCTGCCTCATTTGTTATTTTTTTGCCGAATTGTCTTCGGAATCAGTTTGGATTATAAAAACACAATTTTATATTGTATGAGTTGAAAATACATTTGAAACTGGGCCAATATTTTAGGTGGTAGGTAAACCTTCTGTATGTTCCTTCCGTTTTTTCTATTTTTGACAAGGTTGTATCATTTCTATCCCTTTTAATTTTTCCCAGTAATTTTTGGAGGCATTTTTCGGGCACTCATTTTTCTTACCAATTTCTACAATCCGATTTATCACCACTGTACCACCACCATTGTACCTACCACCCAAAATATTGGCCTAGTTTCAAACGTATTTTCAACTTATACAATATAAAATTGTGTTTCTATAATCCATACTGTTTCCAAGGACAATTCGGCAAAAAAATAACAAATGAGGCAGACAGGTTACAAAAAGCAGGAGTGTATAAAATACAATGTAAAAATTGCCCTAAAGTTTACATAGGAAAAACGTCGAGATCCATAAAAATTTGAGCTCAAGAACACGCCAGACACACAAAAAATCAAGCGATAGAAAAAACAGCAATAGCAGCACATTTTTGGGAAGAAAAACACGACATAGATTTTGAACCTCAATTACTGAAGGAAGAAAATAATGTCAATAGACTGACATGTTGGGAAAATATCTTCATCCAAAAGCAAAAGAAAGACCACCTGATGAATGTAGAATTTCCGCCACCCAACACATTATTAAAGTTGTTTGGAACATCTGGCAACAAGGACAACAAAGGAAGGCCCAGCAACCACCGCATATCTGAAAAACATACCAGTCGCGCCCTAATGTTGATCCAACGGGTCGAATCGCGCGTCGGACGGTTTTCGTAATTTCGCTGACTAGTGAGTTTTGAATTTTATTCCATTTTAACTGTTGACCTAGTCTGGTACTTTTTAAATTTTTAAAATATAATCATAATTTATCACACAGGGTGATCCAAAAGTCCCTTCCACCCCCTCTAACTTTTTACCTAATTGAGGTAAAGATTTGAAACTTGGGGGATATTTCTAGGTCAAAGGGAGCTACTTTTTGGCCCCCCTAAAATTTTCAAGGGGGGCTCCTTAGGGAGGCAACGGCCTCCAACTTTTAATTTTCAAATGAGAAGACTCCCTTTGTGATAACTTGTTCGAAAGAGCATAAAAAAGAAAACTTTTCGCGCAAACCCGAAGTCAATATCTCAAACCGTTTCAAAATGGCGGCCGGTTAAAGTTCAAAATGGCCGAAAATTCACACCGGTCATTTGTCGATGGATTTGCGCGAAAATCGGCATGTAGGGGTATTTTGACAAGAGAAAAACGAATTTGACGTTAGATTTTCAAAAAAACCGAAATTTCCAAAATGGCCGCCGGTTAAAGTTCAGAATGACCAAAAATTGATTTTTTTAGAAATCTAAGTTCAAATTTGTTTATCTTATGCCAAAATACTCTCAAATTCCAGGTTTTAGGCAAATCCGTCAGCAAAAAACTGAGGTGACAATTTTCGGCCATTTTAAACTTTAACCGGCGGCCATTTTGGAAATTTCGGTTTTTTTGAAAATCTAACGTCAAATTCGTTTTTCTCGTGTCAAAATACCCCAAGATACCGATTTTCGCGCGAATCCATCGACAAATAACCGGTGTGAATTTTCGGCCATTTTGAACTTTAACCGGCCGCCATGTTGAAACGGTTTGAGATATTGACTTCGGGTTTGCGCGAAAAGTTTTCTCTTTTATGCTCTTTCGAACGAGCTATCACAAAGGGGGTCTTCCCATTTGAAAATTAAAAGTTGGGGGCCGTTGCCCCCCAAGGGGGGCCCCCTGAAAATTTTAGAGGGGCCAAAAAGTAGCTTCCTTTGACCTAGGAATATCCCCCAAGTTTCAAATCTTTACCTCAATTAGGTAAAAAGTTAGAGGGGGTGGAAGGGACTTTTGGATCACCCTGTATTTTTTTAGCATGGAGAAGTGCAGAGACATCATCCTTGTTGATTTATCAACTTGGTTTTCAATCGTTTTGCAGAAAGACTTAGTGAAAAAGATTCCTTTTAATGTGGAATCACCCATGTCTGTCTTAGACTTGATGGCGCAGCGGTCTTGCATGTATGCAAGTTCTTGTGTGTCTTTCTTATGAAAAAAAACCTCTCTACTTACGGATTGAATAGTGCGGATATTAATGGTTTCCCTAAAATTCAACAGAAACTCCAGAGAATGCTTCGTTTGTTTAAAAGAATTAAAGTTTGCTGATGTTAACTTCATGAAAGGTCTGAAAAAGGTCTCCAAGAAAGAAGTGAGAATTTAAAGAAACAACTGGCTCTAAAGCAGATTTACTTACAGGGAATAAACAAATTTCTGAAATTTCCAGAGTGAGGCATTTACTAAAACAAGACATTTAAATGAGAATGCAATTATACGTGACTTGCCTTCTGAACTCGCAGGAGAGAGATCAATCACATCATCTTCCATCTCCTGACTTGCTTTTTTCACGATGGCTGATTCTTTATTCGCCTCTGCCAAAAATGGGCACTTCTGAGCACCCTCCATGATTTCGGCACTTTCTGTACAATTTAGTGTGTTCACCATCCTGGACATAACTGGACAGTGAGCTCCAAAGTTTTTCAATAAACTTTGACTGTAGTTACGGATGTAAGAGTTGGATAACCTTGCAAGGAATGGACACGGCATCTTGATACTAAGCAAAGAACCTGTAAGAAAATAAAAAATCAGGAGGTTACAACAAAGCTTTCGCCTGCTGAGATAATGGTTTCATAGTATGAATTAAGACTAAGTCCAAGCATACAGACCAACTTAGTAATTTAATCTCGGAGGGATTGCGCCCTGCCAGCTGATTTTTTGGCATCAAACCTTTCTTCAAAACTTCTTTTTTCAAGTTGCGGCTATTAACTTGTGCGAAATAAGTGTAAAAATTAAAATCTTAGTATATAATAAATAAAAGTTCAGAACACATGAAGAGAAAAATACTTTTTGTCTAAGAGGATTAAGAGATTTTGAATAGTATGTAATGAATCTATTTCAGTGGTTTGCTGGGATAAAAATGATGTAGATATAATGAAACAGATTTTTATGACTTAATAAAGAAGAGGCAAAGAACAAAGAGGCAAAACACGCCAGTCTACACACACAAACTGACTTGATACAAGACTCTACATAGTGCAGAGTCATGATGACATCACCTTGACTCGCTGATCGGATGATCATCAACGAGTGTCCAAAGTGGAAGATAAAATCTGCTTCACAACCATAGCTTGGCAAATGTTAGATCACAGGTTCTCTAAAATGAGTTCAATGAATATGTTACCGGCAAACCCCGTTTTTCAGGCAGACCTAGGTCTGCCTAGGCAAACCTAGGTCTGCCTAGGTAGACCTAGGTCTGCCAAGCACCTCGTTTGGCAAACCTAGGATTGCCTGAAAATTTTAGGCAGACCTAGGTTTGCCAAAAGTGATTTTAGGCAAACTAGGTTTGCCAAACGATTTTTTTGGCAAACCCCGTTTCTGATTTCTACCGCTAAAGTGACTTTACCGGAAAACTTTTTCTACCGCTAAAGTGACTTTACCGGAAAACTTTTCTACCGCTAAAGTGGCCTTACCGGAAAACTTTTTCTACCGCTAAAGTGACTTTACCGGAAAACTTTT